AGTTCTATTCATTTCCCTAAAAATTTCTCAAATTCATTGTTTTTAATAGCTGAGTAATACTCCATTGTGTAAATGTACCACACTTTCTGCATCCATTACTCTGTTGAAGGACATCTGGGTGCTTTCTAGCTTCTGGCTATTATAAATAAGACTGCTATGAACATAGTGGAGCATATGTCCTTGTTATACGTTGGAGCATCTTCTAGGTATATGCCTAAAAGTAGTATAGCTGTTTCCTCAGGAAATGCTATGTCCAATTTCCTGAGGAACCACCAGACTGATTTCCAGAGTGGTTGTACTAGTTTGCAAATCCCACTAACAACGGAAGGGAACAGGGAATGATTAGCTCACAAGTGGGCAGAGTCATGGATTCTTGAATCTTGTTGGGCTGTTGTGATTCCCACAGCTCCACAGAGACTAGAAGGAATCTTGACTGAGTTCACTCCATACATGATACTGGGCAGGCTCTATGAGGTCCTGCCTGGCAGGTGCCAGGGAGGGGGTTATTTCTCACTCAGTCTGAAGTTTTGCAGGAGTGCAGAGCTCTTGGATTTGGGATCCCTGGGCCAGGAGGTGGCCAGAGACTGACTGGTCTCAAGCCCTTGGACTCTCAGACACTGCTGAGAGGCCATGGAAGGACTGAGCCTGGGAGCATGTGGGTGCACAACCAGCCAGCCCACAGTTGAGGGAAACAAGGGGGGTGGGGAGAGAAGAATGAGGCCCCAGAAGCACTCAGCAGGAGAGACTCAGTTACTGTACTTGCTTAGATGACTCAGCACCTGGCTAGCTTGCTTGAAGAGGTGGTCCCCATGGCTGGAATGCAAAGAAGTCTTCCAGGCAGGAAGTTTGGTGCAGGGGTTGTGGCAATAGCGGCTCATTAAAGGCCTTCTCTGTGTTTTTCCCACAGCAGGCACCAAAGACACGAGAAAGTCCATGGTTCCAAAAGGCTTTATTTTCATGGCAGATGTAGATGGATCTTACAGTACCCCCATGAAACTTAGGGCAGACCTGGGTTAAATAGGGAGGGAAAAAGTGGGTCTGGGGAAGAATACTTAATTGGCTCCACCCTCTGGCCTTCAGGTATCTCATTAGTATACAAATCTCTCTAGGGCCTGAAGCCTGTAGTCACGCCCTCTACCTGTGCTCTTTGGGAGGAGCTGCATTGCCCTACTTGACTGAACAGTGCAGTTCAATGGAGTTCCATGCCAGTTCCATATTAGGAGCCTGGATTCTGGGAGTGCAGTGGAATAAATGTCTGTCCCTTGCAGGATCTCTGGGCTACTTCAAGACAGCACTTCTACCAAAAACCAAGACCAGTTCATGGCCCTACAAAGGAGTGTTCCTTTTTCTCCACATCCTTACCAGCATCTGTTAGGACCTGAGTTTTTGATCTAAGCCATTCTGACTGGTGTGAGGTGGAATCTCAGGGTTGTTTTGGTTTGTGTTTCCCTAATGACTAAGGATATTTAACATTTCTTTAGGTGCTTCTCGGCCATTCGAGTTTGAGAATTCTTGTTTAGCTCTCTACCCCATTTTTTTTTTTAAATTATTTGGTTGTCTGGAGTCTACTCTCTTGGAGTTCTTTGTATATATTGGATATTACCCCTCTATCGGATGTAGAATTGGTAAAGATCCTTTCCCAGTCTGTTGGTTTCCATTTTGTCCTCTTGACAGTGTCCTTTTCCTTACACAAGCTTTGCAATTTTATGAGGTCCCATTTGTCAGTTCTTGATCTTAGAGAATAAGCCATTGATCTTCTTCTGTTCAGGAACTTTTCCCCTGTGCCCAGCTATTCGAGGGTCTACTCTAACTTCTCTTCTATTATTTCCAGTGTGTCCAGTTATATGTGAAAAATCCTTTATCCACTTGAATTTGAGCTTCGTTCAAGGAGATAAGATCAATTTGCATTCTTCTATATGCTGACTTCCATCAACATAATCCACTATATTAAAAAAAATTCACATGATCATCTCACTAGATACTGAGAAAGCATTTGACAAAATTCAATATCCCTTCATGGTAAAAGTCTTGGAAATATCAGGAATTCAAGGCCCATACCTAAACATAGTAAAAGCAATATATAGCAAGCCAGTAGCCAACATCAAACTAAATGGAGAGAAACTTGAAGCAATCCCACTAAAATCAGGAACTAGACAAGGCTGTACCTACTTAAGACAGTACTGGAAGACCTAGCCAGAACAAATAGACAACAAAAGGAAGTCAAAAGGATACAAATAGGAAAGGAAGAAGTCAAAATTTCACTATTTGCAGATGATATGATAATATACTTAAGTGACCGTAAAACTTCCACCAGAGAATGCCTAAACCTGATAAACAACTTCAGCAAAGTGGCTGATTATAAAATCAACTCAAACAAATCAGTAGCCTTCCTCTATTCAAAGGATAAACAGGCTGAGAAAGAAATTAGGGAACAGACACCCTTCACAATACTTACAAATAATACAAAATACCTTGGTGTGAATCTAACCAAGCAAGTGAAAGATATGTATGACAAGATCTTCAAGTCTCTGAAGAAAGAAAATGAAGAAGATCTCAGAAGATGGAAAGATCTTCCATGCTCACAGATTGGCACCATTAATACAGTAAAAATAGAGATCTTGATGAAAGCAATCTACAGATTCAATGCAATCCCCATCAAAATTCCAAATCAATTCTTCATAGAGATAGAAAGAGCAATTTGCAAATTCATTTGGGATAACAATAAACCCAGGATATCGAGAACTAGTCTCAACAATAAAAGAACTGGGGAAATTAAAATCTCTGACTTCAAGATGTATTACAGTGCAATAGTGATAAAAACTGAATGACATTGGTACAGAGACAAGCAGGAAGATCAATGGACTAGAATTAAAGACACAGAAATTAACCCACACACCGATGGTCACTTGTTTTTTGACAAAGAAGCTAAACTGTTCAGTGGAAAAAGGATAGAATTTTCTACAAATGGTGCTGGTTCATAGCTCTTTATATCATTTCTTTTTAACACTGAAAATGTGGATTATATCAAGATCTATAACAAGACAAGCACTTTTTAGTCATTTAGGCTAAATTTTACTTAGAGAAGATGTAGTAAATAATGCAAACTAATTTTTGTGAGTGTAAACAATGCCAAAATTAGAGACTTGTAAGAACAGAATAACTTTTATTACATACTTAAGCATGTAATCATCAACCTTACATCAACAACACACCTTGTATGCACACACACACACACACACACACACACACACACAATAATGTTAGGAAAGTTTGAAATATAAAAACTCACATCAATAGCTTATTAATAAAATAGAAAAATAACATGGTTAATCGAAAGGGATACATTGTTGATTTTAACTTTAATAGTTTTATTAGTTAGGGTTTTACTGTTGTGAACAGAAACCACGACCAACACAACTCTTTTAAGGACAACATTTAATTGGAACTGAATTACAGGTTCAGAGGTTCAGTCCATAGTCATCAAGGCAGAAACATGGCAGCTTCCAGGCAGGCATGGTGAGGGTGGAGTTTAGGGTTCTACATCTTCATCTGAAGGCTGCTAGTGGAAGACTGAGTTCCAAGCAGCTAGGATGAGGGTGTTTAAGCCCATGCCCAAAGTGATACACCTACACAAGGCCACAATGCCACACCTTCTAATGGTGCCACTCCCTGGGCCAAGTATGTACAATCAATCACAATAGTTTTAAGAATACTACATAAAGATACAGTAATATAGAATTATCATGAAGGCAGTTAGAGAGCAGGAGGGAAGCAAAGATTCCACTCAGGCCACAAATTCTCAAGCAAAGAAATGGGAGAATGCGAGGATCTGAGAGGAATTCAGAAAGAGAAGTGAATATAAGAAAAATATGTGGTATAAAATTGGTAATGAATTTACAAATATAATTTAATCAAATGTTTTATATAAAACCCAACAGCATATGCCATGCATTTATAACAGTAATTTTTAAAAAAATCAGTGTGTATAGCAACATTTCTTGAGAACAAGCATTTGATTATGTCAAATATCAAGCTAAGAATCTTCACAGTTAGGGTATTTTGTATGTGATCACAACTTGTTCAGTTTAAAGACTTGGAGGCAACTAAGGTTGTAGAATCCTTGTATGAAAACCAGTGACAGAGCCTCTCAGAATATGAGAGACACACATGAGGAACATGGAGTATTATAAAGGTTGTCAGACGCATGATGACAGAGCAGTGGGGAGAAGTGGAAACTAGGAATGAAATTAAAAAACAAATCCTTTGCCCTGTAGTTTCTGGTGATTGATTATTCAAGAGTAGAAAGATAACTGAGAACATCATCACCAAACAGGTACCCAAGTCAAAATATGAAAAACTTACAATACATAAAAATATGAGAAATATGAACCTGAACACCTAAACATACACACACACATAAACACACACACAAGTGTGTGTGTATAGGCATATATATGTATATACATATGTTATCACATATGCAGCAGTAAATGGACACAGTAGCACAGTAGGTTGCATATATATATATACATATATATGTGTGTGTGTGTGTGTGTGTGTGTGTGTGTGTGTGTGTGCGTGTGTGGAGAGAGAGAGAGAGAGAGAGAGAGAGAGAGAGAGAGAGAGAGAGAG